TGAGTCGAGCTCACGTGTCTCGTCTCCATTTCCTCAACAGGAGCTGAAGCTGAAGGACAAAGAATGCGAGAGATTGTCAAAAGTTAGAGAACAACTGGAACAGGAACTAGAGGAGTTAACAGCCAGCCTTTTTGAGGTACCACCCTCTTCCTTTTCCCATCATTTCTTAAGCTGAGCTTCCATCCAACTCCTTTAAGGCAGTCTTTCTCTGAACTTCCAGCCATCTCCTCCCAGAGTTTCCTCCTTCCCCCTGTTGATCTTTCCCACTAAGAGCAGCAGATTCGGGCAGTGCTGCAGGCAAAGCCTCTGAGCAGGGGCTTGTATCTGCTCCTGGGAGTATTTGCATGCATCTCTTTGCCCTTCTAGCATTTGTGGGATGACATAGGGAGCACAGTAGTTATGGGTCTGTACATCTGGTAGCAAAAAGGGATGTGGGGATGCCTGTAGCTGGAGCTGAGCACCCTCCTGTGCCTGCTCTGTGGTCTGGACAGCAGCTGCTGTCTAGTAGAGATGGTTCCCTGGCTCATGGCATCCTCTCCTTGGGGTGGAACAAGCTGGATGTCCTCATATACTCTGCTCCCGTGTGTGTTCAGGAAAGCCTCTTGGTTGTTGTTTTGGGTTTTTTTTGTTTTTTTGTTTTTTTCTAACATGATTCTTTCCAAACACTATCCTGGCAAAATCCCATTTACCAGCAGCTCTAATTTGTGGCTCTGACTGGGCCGTGAGGAAAGCCAGAGCCTGTCTGCACCTTTGAAACACAGGCTGGTGCTGAGTGCAAGGGCCAAGAGAGCATCCCCCTCCTGGAGATTTGGCTGGGTCATGGCCAGAAGACAGTTTGGTGACAAGCCAGCAAGCCTGCAGTGAAAATGGGGGTCTGAGGTCAAGTCAGGAAGCCAAGCCAGGGGATCCAAGTCAGGTCAGAGTCGCAAGGATGTCAGACTGGACACAGACGCAGCCAGGATGCAGCACAAGTGGGTGCTAATGTCACAGCCTCAGCTTTAAAGCAGTTCCCAAGAGGAACAAGGAGCAGGCCCTTGCTTCTCACTTTCTTCGCAGCAGCTCGTATCATTGAAAGAAATGACCTTGGACTCAGCCAGCTAAACTCTGATTTAACCAGCTACAGTCCTAGAAGGGGGATGCACTCCAGGCCCTGGGCTCTGGGGATTTTTAAGGGAAGGCTCTTCGCAGCTGGCAGAGTAAAACCCTGGGATGCGGCAGTGATGTCTGTCCCTCTGCTTGCTTGCCTGGAGCGTGTGTTAGGGCAGAGCTTTGGCCTGCTCCGGTGGCTTTATGTGAGTTGGGGCTACGACAGGCAGACTGAAATTCTCTCTGGTCCAGGAAGCGCACAAGATGGTGAGAGAAGCAAACACTAAACAGGCGGCGTCAGAGAAACAGCTGAGGGAGGCACGGGGAAAGGTGAGAACCGCGCTCTCTGCGACTTGATCTCTTGTAATGGGTTGGTACCGTCCTTGCCCAGCCTGGCTCTGTTGGCTGGAGGAAAGTGAAGTGCCTGAGCTGCTGGATTTCCTCTGTTCCCTCACCAACAGACCCCGAGTGAGTGGGGAAAAAAGGCGTCCTTGCAGCCTTCTGCTGATCCAGTTCCCCTTTGAGAACCAGATGCCCGGGGAGCCGCAGACGAACGAGATGCTGTTTTAATCGCCCCGGCTGTGGGGATGGTTGGAGCAGGGAGCTGGGGAGTTGGAATTTCCTCAGAGGGCTGCTCAGTTTGTTCCTTACTTGAGGAGAGAGAAATTTCTCCTGGGTTATTTGGTCTAAAAAGAGCCCGGGGCAAAATGTATTCAGACTGAGGAGCAGATGGGTTCCCAAATGGTTGCTCTATTTAAAATTCTGGGTGATGGTGGGCATTTGGGAGAAAAAAACCTTCGTGTCTGGGCTTGGCACTGGTTCCCCATGGCTTTAGTGTTTGGTGGGGCAGGAACAACTTGCTGAAGGTGCTGTTGACCCTCGCCTTGTGTCCTCAGATCGACATGCTGCAGGCGGAGGTAACGGCTCTGAAGACGCTGGTGATCACATCCACACCTTCCTCTCCCAACCGGGAGCTGCACCCTCAGCTCCAGAGCCCTTCTAAAACCGTCTTCAGGAAGGGCCACGGGCGACACAAGAGCACCAGCAGCGCAGTGGTCTCGGCTGCCAGCCACAACGTGACACCAGAGCCCGTCAGTCACGAGCACAAAGAGGTGGGTGAGGGACGTTTGCCGCATCGGCCGCAGAGCTGCTGCCGTTGGCGTGCTCGGGAAGCTGAGCAGCTTCCGACTCGGCCTTCCTGGAGAGCTCTGTGGTTTTGGCATTGGGAGAAGCTGTCTTTGCTCTAATCTGGCTCGTTCCCTAAATTTGTGCTGAGGCAAGCTCCGGAGGGTTGTGGAGATTTCCCCTTGTGGGAAGCACATTGAATGCTGCGTCAGGAAAACTGCTCGAGGGAACAGCTGAGGGATGTGTGGAGGGCATGGACAGAACCAGGGCTTAGCGGTGCTGCGAGTGAAGATGTGACGAGCTGCTGAGAAGCAGCCAGTTGTTCTGCTGCACCTTGGCAGTTGAGGTCACTCAGGCACGATTTGCTGTTGTTTCTTGGACACCAGGACACCTCCATCAACTTGTAGTCTCTGTCACTTTATCACTGTTCTTCCTCTTCTTTGCAGAGCATGTATTTAATTAATTATACTTAATTCCTTCCTTGCTGGAAGGAACTGGGCAGAGAAACATACAAAGCTCTATCTTTGTGAATTATCTTTTAAACAAAGCCTCTTTAATTCCCTTTGATGATCCTTTGATAGTCCCCCACCTGCTGTGGCCATGGGTGTAAGAAACTCTTCTTCCTGCTAGCAGGACCTTTCCGTTTGGGAACTTTCCACTAGCCAGATGTGCACACAGCTGTCCTGGGGTCAAAAAGGAGGCAGTTTATGGCACTTGATCAGGAAGAATGAAAGTGAGTGAGAATGTGGTGGGGCAGATGTGTCTCCCTAGTGATTTTTTTTTGAGAGCTGCAGCCTCTTGTCATGAGGAATTGTTGAGGGAACACGGAAGCGCCTGGTCGCTTGGCCTGTGTGAGAACACATGGAGAAGGGCTGCTTGTGAAATGAATGCTGGTGAAATTAATATTTTCACCAAACAGGAGCGCGCTGGCAACACTGGGAACCTCTGGTTTTGGCAGTGTGATCAGTGAATGTGCCTTGTCAGCTTCTCTGTGGTGCTCTTGTTGCTGGAGTTTGGATGAAATCCTTCAGGCAACGTTGGCTGTAGCCATTGTCCTGAGAGAGGAATAGCAACAGAAATGAAGATCTTTCACTCTGATCACAGGCAGAGAGAAGCAAAGGCTGTGTCAGAAGGAAAACCAATGGAAAAAAATCAGTTTGGTTACTGGGATGACCTGATGCACTGGTTTGTCATGGTCAAGCAGGGAACCTTCCAGATATGCTGGATTTTGGAGTGAAATGCAGTCAGCTAGAAGCTGCTTTGGGGGCCAGAAAGAAGGTTTTAATCTTTTCAAGGTCCTGTGACCATTCCTCCAGTCAGAACAGAGCAGCTCCAGACTGGGAGCCCGGGTCAGTGAACCACTGACTGTCTTGTAGAAGTTACTGTCTGCCTACAGTGAGCAGAGAGAACTTTTTCCTACTGGTTGGTTCGTTTTGCTGATCTTGGCTCAGTCTCAGCAAAGCTCACGTTGATGATCTTGAGAGAAATGCTGGCTCTTGCGACTTGTTTCATAAAGATTTGGACCTGTCATTGCTTTGTGGAGGTAACTTCCACATGGTGGAGATATCCTGGGGCTTAACATCCCAGGGCTTACGGCTTCTAAAGTGACTAAGAATTTGATAGATCCAGAGTGGGGTGTTTTTTTGCAAACGTTTCCATTTCTTTAATTCCTCAGTGGCCTATGTGAGAGGTGGGAGAAGGGAACCTGAATCCAGAGAGTTGGTGCTCTGTGGAAGAAAAAAAACCCCAAACATGCCTCGTCTTAAACTGAGCCTAAATCCAACAGAACTTCTCTTTTTGCACCTCAAGCTGAAGTCAAAAAGTGTAGCTTGAGGCCCTGCCGTGTCCCAGGCAGAACACTTTGCTCCTTGGAGGCCTTGAGCCTTCCTTTATATCTTCTGGTTTGTCTCATGTTTTTGGGTTGGGTTGTTTTTTTTTTTAACTCCCTTTCTTATTTGTGTCTCTAAACCTTTTCCTTCACTGTCTGTCTCTTCCTCTGCTCTCAAAAGTCTGGGTTTCCCGCTCTTCTCTCTCTGCTCCTTTGTATCCTGCCGGGGAAAGCTGTCCACATCACCTATGAGCCGGGCTGGCAGGCCTTGGGGGCAGATGCTTCCTCCTCCTCACGGCAGGTAACCTTTCCTGGACAGCACTGGGGACAGGTGGGACCCATCTGCCTCTTGCATTTTCCAGCCTTTCAGTTCTACCTTCCTTTTACACCAACCTCCATCTGGTTTGGTTTTGTGTTTCGTTTGTTTTCTTTTTTTCCTCTCGATTTTTTTTTTTCCATCTTGTGGCTCTGAAGCTGTCTCCTGGGACCAGGTGAGCGGTCTCCGTAGCGTAGAGCGAGCGTGCTAGGATGCAGACCTTTCCCAGCTTTGTTCACTTGTGTTCTTTCTGTTGCTCAGCAAGATTTCGTTCATTTTTGGCTTTCATTTCTGCAGCTTTAACAGGATTTGCTGGCCTTTTAAGGAGATGCCCTGTCGGTCAGGTTGGTGGTTCCGCTAATGATCAGTCTGAGGTTTAAATGTCAGCTCCCAGAGACTTTCCAGGACTGAAATATTTTTAGCCAGACAGGGATGGAGGGAGCAACCTTCCTGCTGGCTCAGGGGATGGAAGCAAGCTGTGCCCTGGCTCCCGTGTTGCTGAGCAGCGATAACGGTCGTGGGCACACCTGCAAAGGGCAACGAGCAGATATTAGAATGGGAAAAGCTGTTCCTACTCTTCGAGTTCCCTTCAAGAGGCTTCTTTTCCTACTCTCAGCTTGGCTCTGGGTGGCTGCCCAGTGTTCCTGTTGCTTCTGTGACTCCCTGAACACCAGAGATCTGGGCTTGGAGTGGCCTTAAAAGGACTGGCACACCCTGTGAGCTCATACTTGGGGCTCGTCGAACATAGTCCTGCTTTCCAAAATAACCATTAATTTTTATTAATATGTTTTTTCCCCAAGTCATCCTTTCCTGTCGCAATCCTTTCCTTACAGAAGGGATCTGCCTCCTGCATCCCGGGTGCTGTTGCCGCTGTGCTTTGCCGTTCAGCCGCTCTCCTC